ATCTGACCATGGGGCTGACAATCAGACATATTCTTCTCAATGGTAGATCTGAACATGGGGCTGACAATCAGACATATATTCTCAATGGTAGATCTGAACATGGGGCTGACAATCAGACATATTCTTATCAATTGTAGATCTGAACATGGGACTGACAATCAGACATATTCTTCTCAACGATAGATCTGACCATGGGGCACAGTCAGATGTATTCTTGTCAATGATAGATCTGTTCATGGGACTGACAAGCAGACATAATCTTCTCAATGGTAGATCTGAACATGGGGCTGACAATCAGACATATTCTTCTGAATGGTAGATCTGAACATGGGGCTGACAATCAGACATATTCTTCTCAATGGTAGATCTGAACATGGGGCTGACAATCAGACATATTCTTCTCAATGGTAGATCTGAACATGGGGCTGACAATCAGACATATTCTTGCACGCTTCTTAGCGATATCCCAGTAACAATTGACAAAAAATATTGCACGCCTCCTGCCCTCCCCAACCAATTCTATTCGGGATATGTCTCCGCTCTCAACATTTTGTCATTTCTATTTCCATTTTTTATATTGTGAACGTTGTTAATTTCTTTCTTTTTGAAGACACGGTTGTATCTGTCATCATGCACATATTTCTGTTTTACAGTAACGTCATTTTATGGGAGTTTGTAATCGTTAGTTTTCATTACCCGGGAGTACTACTTTCCAGGTCATGTATGATTACACTTGTAATTGGATGTACTTGAAAACACGCCTTTTTAACATTTGGGCAACTTAACGACAGATTAGTGGCGACATACTGTGAGAAAATTGAATTTCTTTGTGAAAGTGTAACTTTAATAATTTGCTCATCCATGCCCATAGTATCAGACAACACTTTTAAGTCGGCTCCCCGCACTCCACGGCGAGCGAGCAAGATATAAACACCGACGTCGGCTGTCACGACAGGCGGCTGTACTATATTCCTAAATTAAAAACAACAACAATTAGCTAACTACTACATTGCATTTACAAGCTGCAAGAAATTATGAAAAACAGTCTGATTATCATAGATACATTTTATAGCTATTTTGCTATTTTGCAAAGACACCTACTTGTGAAATTACAACCTACCTGACCCCCCAGAGGGAGTAACACAATTGACTAGCACAACTGTATTGATGTTTGTTTCCTAGGGAGACAACACGTCACGTCTAATGTATGCGGGGAAAATCAGGACAGTTTGCTCAGTGTGCACAAAGCCACCATTGCTCAATATGTGTTGAACTATTCTATTCACTTTAAGTGCGAAGATTTTTGCTTCAGTGGATTATTTAGCATATTTTTTGACGCCGTGGGTGACGTTAGAGTTCTAGAACACCTTTGTTTGGTGCATCAACATATCGTAAGCTCACGCGATTCTCACCGATTTGCCGAGCGTTTGCGTTGTGCAAAAGACCATCGTCGTTACGACTCATTGGGCGAAAAATTGAGATCTCAATCAACGGTACTCTGCCAAGGAAAATATCTTCATCGACTTATAAAGCTGTACCAGAAGCGATAGTTTACCAACGTTTCGTGACACCTGACGATTGACCGAATAGACGGCGACTGGTTGTCGGACTGATTGGCAGACAACTATTGTTGTCACGTTTCTGTCTGACATTTCCGCGTAAATAAACTTTGAAATTTGGAAGCTCTGACAAATCCGTAAATTGTCGATAACTTTGTGTGGCGATTGGATGGGTGTATTTTCACAATCATGTGAAATAGACTTGTAATTCTTTCTCTGTCTGCTCATCAAGAGTAAAACATTATGTCGGGTAAGTACACGGGCGAGCCATGTTGACACATTATGGGCATCTGACGCGTGACTGTCGATGCTTTCTATTGAATTCAAAGTACCTGGTGAATTGTTGACGTGTTTAAACCAATACGCGGTTTGCTGGAGATCAAAACAGTACTGCAGCAAACTGCATTGAGTCGTACACGTTTAGAAAACGTCACCTGAGTATATAAATCATGCCTTTCAGGTGCCATCAGCATAATGCATTTTGTTGATTAGAGCATTAAATAAAAAACACCCACGGTGCGATATTAGAATTACATAGTGGGTCAGGTTACTGCTTTTATTTGGCTTATGTACTGCCTATGGATGACTGTGTCACTATCACCTGATATTAGGCTAATATCACTAAAAAATTATTGCTTTATAAAAAAAAGACTAAACAAAGTGTCTGGTACTAGCTTTTTGTATGATATATGATATAACATTTCATAATTAATATACAAGTTTCTTAATAAAACCTGAACAATTACTAATAATTAAAAGTTAATCAATATGTGTACATTTGAATTTGTGATAATTACCGTACTGCAACTAATTACTTACTAAAGCCTTTTAAAATAAAATGTTACTGTGACTGCAGGAAAGAATGGAACAGCAATAATGTAATAATCATAATATTTATTCAACACTAAAACAAACTATTGTGAGTTCTTCTATGGTCGTATAAAAATGAAATAAAATAAAATAAACTACATAAGGATACAGTAAAGATAACCAACTAAACAGAATGCTAAATAAAACTAAATAATATTACAAACACATAAAGAATCACAATAAACTTGTACAATACAATGCACTAGCTACTATTGCTAAGAAGTGAACAAATTAAAATCACACTGTTTTGCTAACAAAACAGCTACATTACTCAGGAAGCAATGAATACTTTGTGAAATTTATGGTTATATCATTCATGTTGCTGTTCCATTTATTCTTCTGACCACAATAATTTATTATAATTTGTGCAGTTTTTCACTGCCAGAAAGTTGTACAAATCTGACACTCATGTATTCAATGACGCATTTCACATTCATATACCAGTTAATACCGGTATTTACCTTAATTTCCAGTCAATGCTTCAATCCCCAGTCAGTACCTCAATTCCCAGTTGACCCTTGATCCTCAGTTCCTTGCTCCCAGTCGTACTTCAATCCATAATCAGTACCTCAATCTCTAGTAAGTACCTCATTTCTCAGTCACTGCCTCAATTCCTAGTCTACCTCAATTCTCCAGTCAGTACTTCAATTCTGGGTCAATACTTCAATAGCTGACATTTCCAATCAGTTCCTCAATTCCAGATTCCTAAATTGGTAGTGTTTGTGCGTTTATTATTTGTGTGCCTTCTAGCACAGATTTTGAATATTACAAACATATTGCTTGTTCGTGTTTCCAAAATGCGACATAAAAAATTACCTCAAATAAAAGGGCCATCATC